AGCTAAGACTTGAAAACAACCGAAATGCCCATCAGTAGACGACTGGATTAAGAAACTTTGGTACATTTACACAATGGAGTATTACTCAGCTATAAAGAAGAAGGAAATAGTACCATTTGCACAATATGGATGGAACTAGAGAACATTATGCTAAGTGAAATAAGTAAGTCAGCAAAAGACAAATACCATATGATCTCACTTATACATGGATTCTAAGGAACTGAATGGATGGGAGACGTGGATGGAGATCATCTCAGAGACACAGAGGAAAAACTGAGGGTTGTTAGTTGGGAAGGGGTGGGGATGAAGGAGAAAGGGAAGGGATGAGACAATACAAATTGGTAACTGCGACATGGCCTCAGGGATAGAAAAGACAGTCTGGGGAATATAATCAATAATGTTGTAAATATTTCTTAAGGGGCCAGATGGACTCATGTCTAGTGGGGGAGACCACTCATAGTCAGTGTAGAGGCCTGACCACCGCACTGTATTACTGAAGCTGATGTTGAATAATATTGTATGTCAACTCTAGTTATATATAAATATAGTCACGGGACATGGAGTAGAGAGTAGGAATGGAGTCAATGGAATTGTAATAGGCAATCATGATATTGGGGGTGGGAGAGCAGTAGATGGGGGAGAGAGGTGGTTACTTTGGGAGGGTGAAAAGGATAACTATTGCATTGTTCTGTACACCTGAAACTAACAATAAAAAAATTAAAAAAAAAAGAATCTTCCAGGTACCTAACTCACCACCATCAGGCAGTTGGAAGATAAAGTATTACTGCCAAGATATTAAGTGTCATCATGTAGAAAATGGTTAATGAAATTTCTATAACATTTCAAATTCTCTCAGCATTCTTATTAATTATTTTAAATAAATAGATCCTCCAATGAAATTTGAGCACCTAGAGGCCAGGTATCATCCGTTCTCAACTCTATATGGATATGTGAAATTTGACCATTGATGAGAGTCAGAAAAGGAGCTTGTCAAAAATACTGATGCTTGCAGCCACTCCCCCAGATTCTGATTCAGTAGCTCTAAGATGGCATCCTTTAAGTTACATGATAATTGACACTCCACTTGATGTTACGTGGCCCTTATGCCCCATTAGAGAAACACTAGTGGTCCTGAACATTTTAATACACATCATATAATGACATGATAGTCTTTGAATGAAGGAACAGTTGAGCAAATGAAAAAGCAAAATAACCAATGAAACAAAGTGCATATTTGTAGTTCAGTCACAGAAGGAAACTTAGCAGTTTCTCTTATAAATGCATATGTGTACCTTGGAGGTTTCTGTAGGAATTCGAATGAGTACACTTGTCTGTTTGTTCTATCTTTTTAGGGACTTTATTTTGCAGTCTTCTGTGGTGTTATCTAATGAGCCCAATTTGTACATTTCAGTCTTAAATTCTACTCAGTGGGCATAGACACAAGAAAACATTTTGGAGGGTCTATTGCTATATATGAATTTCATGAGTCAGGGAATACAAACATCCGGTAGGCCAGTGAGTTTGATTCAACGAGCTATGTTTATAACCACAGATGAGTTTTCAACATTATAAACGTGTATTCAACAGAGAGTAATTCCCAGTACAAGCCCACACATATCAACGTGCCTGGGAAGCAGTAGTCGAAAGGTAATTTGCAGGCAGTGGGGCACCTACAATCATTTATCAGGAAAGCAATAAGAAACAAAACAAAATAATACAAAGGTAATCACATCCTGTTGATTCAACCCAGCATCATAGGAAACTAAAAGGCAACGATTCCTTCTAAAAACTTTGAAGTAAACATTGCTAGTGAAACAGAGCCTGCATTCAGAAGGTGCTATTACCAGGTACTTAACATGTACTGTAAATAGGAGAGTTTTCTTTATTTCCAAACAATTGAAAAATGCAGTAATTTACGGTAATTCATTTAGCTGCTCTGTATTTTTTTCTTTACAAATTTACTTATTGAAAAGGTCATGTGGTATGTCCTTATTAAGTTTATTTGTAAGTTATATTACAATACTATGTACATGGGCTAATGGCAGAAAATCCCAAACAAGCAAACAAAACATTTCTTACTTGGACTGTGTAAATATAGTTTAAGTTTGTACATGAGTTTAGGCTTTACAGTTTTGAAAAATGTATATTAGCATTGCATTTTATTTGTTGTCTGTGTGTGTGTTTGTGTATATTTCCATACATATATGCATTTATTGGTATGACAAGGTGGAGATAAAGTGAAAAATTACATACTGGTAGAACTTCGTCTTTCTAATCATGGCTTTTCAAAGTATGAACTTGGCCCTTTTGTGCTGGAATCACCTGTGACAGTTGTTATGGATGTTAGGGGAGGTCATAGAAAGGTCATGACCACCAGTGGACTCTCCAGCTGGACCCTAGCAACCAGAGGCTCTTTACCCCTCCCCTGTCCTTGTAATATAGCTTACGCCCATAGTTGCCATAGTGGAAGCCATTTTCGAGCACACAGCCTTGAGAGAGCAATGTGTCACTGAGATCATTTGGATGGTATACATGAGTGAGCCCAGTTAAGATCTCTTTATAACTCTTAAGATTCTAGAGTGCTTGTGCAGAGATCTACCATATTTGCCAGCGTATAAGATGATTTTTTGGCCCTGAAAAATATGCCTCCAAGTGGGGGGTCGTCTTATACGCCAGGTACACTTCAGATAGACTGCCCATAGTGCTTGCCCGTGCCATAGTGGCCTCCCGATGCCCGCCCACTTCATTCCACATACCGTTCAGGCATCAGCAGCGCTGCTGGGTGTATGCTCGGCTGTTATGCGATTTTGCTGTTATGCAATTTTACCACACTCGCAAAATCGCACACAGCCGACCATACACCCAGTATGATAGCGCAAAATCGCGAATCGCGATTTATGTATATGTTTGATTACATACAGCCTTGTGACAGTTTTCCTGCATGTCATAAGCATTTGAATATAAATATAAATATAAATGTTGAAATCAAATCTGATATTGTTTTACCTTTTATTTGGTGTGTGGAAGGTGTGCGGAAGAGGGGGTAGTCTTATACGGCGAGTATATAACAAACTCTGTATTTTGAGTGGAAATGTTAGGGGGTCGTCTTATACGCCCAGTTGTCTTATACGCCGGCAAATACGGTACTCATCTTTCAGCCACCCAAGACAAGCCTTATACGTTCTCTTGCTTATTTAAACTGCCACCTACTAATCTGGGGCAGCTTGCCTCTCTCTGATCTCTGTTTATGATGTGTGTGTATGTGTGTGTGTGTGTGTGTGTGTGTGTGTGTGTGTGTGTGTGGAAGCGGGGGAGGGCATTTGCAAACAATCAATGGAGGAATATCTTTGTCCCTCCAAAATTCATATGTTGAAACTCTAACTCCCAATATGATGATATTTTGAGATGGAGACTTTGGAAGTTCTTTAAGGTTCAATTAGGTTATGAGGGTGGAGCCTGCGTGGGTAGGATTAGTAGATTTATAAAAAGAGGAAGAAAGATACCCCCACCCCATGCACACACCTGAGAAGGTTCATGTGAAGACATTGTGAAGACACAGTGAGAAGGCAGCTGCCTGCAAGGCCAGAAGAGAGCTGTCACCAGGAAACAAATTGGCTAACGTCTTGTTCCTCCCAGATTCTAAACCTGGGAGAAATAAACTTCTATTGTTTGTGACACCAAGCCTGTGATATTTTGCTATGGCAGCCCGAGCAGATTAATATAGTTGTCAATTGGAGTTGCGAGGAGGCTAAACACACTCAAGTTACTAAATCAGAGTCACTAGGGGCTGGGTCCAAGGATTTACTCCTTAAGGAGGTTTCAAGGTAATGTTCAGTCATCGTCAAGTTTGGAAAGTACTAGAAATATTGTAAAAATTAGTCTGACTGACTAATAGATCATCCAAACTGGTACACTGTTTAGAATGGAAAGGAGTGTTTTAGTAGTTAAACAAAAACAGGCATAATCTGAAAATGTCCTGGGAAAACCAGTCTTAAATTCATTTTGCCTACCCAGCTTTACATTTAATTCATATTTGATTTTTAAAAAGTCATTTTGCATAGTGGTTTTTCTCTTTTCAAATGTAGAAGCATGGATAAAACTGAGGGTAAAATCAGTGTGGGTATTTGTGTGTGTGTGTGTGTGTGTGTGTTTGTATTCACATGTGCATGCATGAGCTCATCAAAACATTTAAGTATGTAAAAAGCCAGATATTGTACTAAGTGTTAAGATTAGAAAGTAGTTTGTGAATTACTCTTTAACTTACTGCTTTTTTTCTTTATGTCTTTCTAAAAATATTGAGAAGGTATAAATATTCATCATTTTTTCCTAACTTCTTTCAATATTCACATTTCTGATAAATTTATCAAATTGGAATATTTATAAAAATAATTAATAATTAAATATTTATGTAAATATTTCACATGAGTGAAATAATTTTACTTAAGACACAATTCATTCAGTGGTACCACGTGTCATTCACTGTTGAAAAACCCACAAACTGCACTAGGAAAGACTTTCTCCATTAAAAGCACTAAGGATTTCTTTTCGTAAAAAGTACATTCCTAGTTTTGAAAAGTTATTGAGCAGCAAACAGAAGAATACTTCCTAAACTTGATCAAGACTATCTACCAAAACAAACAAACAAACAAACAAAACTACAGCTAACATCATACTTAATGTTAAGAGCCTCAAAGCTTTCCCAATAAGATCAGGAACAAGGTGAGGATATCCCCTTTCACAACTTCTTTAAAACATGGTAGTGGAAGCTCTAGCTAATGCAATAAGACAGTTACTGGGAAATAAATCTGTACAGATTAGGAAAGAAAAAAAAAACTATCTTTGTTCACAGATGACATAATTATCTGAGTAGAAAAGCGAAAGGAATCAATAACAACACACCTCTGGAAACAATAAACATTATAGCAAAGTTTCAGGATACAAAGTTAATATTTAAAAGTCAATTATGGGAACTTTCCAGAACGCTGGGTGAGGAGCGGAGCAGCAGCGGCTGCCTCAGGCTGTCAAAAATGGTGAAAGAAACCACTTACTATGATGTTTTGGGAGTCAAACCCAATGCCACCCAGGAAGAATTGAAAAAGGCTTACAGGAAACTGGCCTTGAAGTACCACCCTGATAAGACTCCAAAAGAAGGAGAAAAGTTTAAACAGATTTCTCAAGCTTATGAAGTGCTCTCTGATGGAAAGAAAAGGGAATTATATGACAAAGGAGGAGAACAGGCAATTAAAGAATGCGGAGCAGGTGGTGCTTTTGGCTCCTGCATGGACATCTGTGATATGTTTTTTGGAGGAGGAGGAAGGATGCAGAGAGAAAGGCGGGGTAAAAATGTTGTGCATCAGCTCTCAGTAACCTTAGAAGATTCATATAATGGTGCAACAAGAAAACTAGCTCTGCAAAAGAATGTGATTTGT